TGTGTGTGTGTGTGTGTGTGTGTGTGTGTGTGCACGCTGCTGTGTTGCGCAACCGGCTCATCCATCCATTCTAAGCCTAGAAATATTAACTTTACGCAGGAGTTTATTACCATAATTACTGTAAACAGAGGAACTCAGATGTTTGGTAGAACATAGATCTTAGTTTATTTCATAGCTGATATGAAGAAACGAGTCTCTGCGCCTCAGTGGAGAGTTTTCATGACGTGACGTGATGTTGGAGAGTTAGAATTATATGGATGAGACCATTCCATCGGTCATGATTCAGCTCTGGGTGGACTGGACTGACACAGTCCTGATCGGTCTGCCAGCTCCCTCTGGAAAGCTCCTGTGGAACCCCAGTTTAATCACTACTGCTGCACGCGCCGCGCACAGATCCTCGCTGTGTCATGCTTCCAGAGCCAATCTGAAAAAGGACTTTCCCTGAAAACAGCTGATGAGCCAGTCGTCATCATGGATCAGAAAATTCTATCTGTTTATAAATAAATGCTCTGCGTGTTACACTATTTATTATGGCTGAATCAGTTCCTGTTAAATGTGTTTTTGGCACAACTTTGCGCGTCCTTTATCTAACTGTGTCCATGTGGATGTAATAATTAATCATATGGATTTAATAATTAATCATGTGGATGTAATAATTAATTATGTGGATGTAATAATTAATCATGTGGATGTAATAATTAATCATGTGGATGTAATAATTGTTAATCATGTGTGTCTGGTGTGAACAATAATCATTTTCACATCATGAACAGTTTCTTAGAATCAACTCTGTGTCGCCAATGGAACCAAAACCACAGAAAGCTTTTTTTCCTAGCTGAATTAAGAACTCACCCATCCTGCAGACCACAGAGGTGAGATGGCACTGGTCAAGGACGTCCAGCAACTGTTGGTCCAGGTGTCTCCCACAGGGGTCTAGATTCTCTCTGATGGTCCCGCTGAACAGGAAGGGGTCCTGAGGTATAATAGCCAACTTGGACCTACAGAGGAGACAAAAAGGACACAATCAACATTATCATATTGATCTATGCTTCTGTTCCTGTGTCAGCATCTTCATTTGTCTGTAGTGTTAACATAATATCTCATAAACCACTGGATAGATAAAAAAAAGTAATCATTGGATGAACGTCTACAATTGGAGTCACTATGATTAAAGGTGGCTGCTTATAGGCTGTAACTCAGTCAACTTTATTGGGATTGTTGRGGTAGCTGAAAGTCATTCACAACCCAGACCCTGAGTGTGACATCACATGACATTACACTTTATTTTCAGGGTTTACCAAAATCAAATATATCTTGTTAATTTCTTAACACATGATGATTTTAATCTAAAACCCCAGCTAAGAAAGACGGTGGGTCATGTACATTCATTCAAGAAATGCTAGGCCTTTAACTGTGATCAATGTTTTGCTACAGTTTGTCAAATGTCTTTCAAATCTTAACAACTTCAGACATACCGTAGCTGAGCTAAGCCCACAGTGCTTATGTCCAGCTGATCCAGGAGTATCTGCCCTTGGTTGAGCTCCACCATACGAAACAAGGCCAGAAACATGGTGGACTTGCCAGAACCTGTACGTCCAACAATACCAATTTTCTCCCCAGGTTGTACAAACAGGCTCACTCCATCCAGTGCATTAGGAAGGCCCTCCCTGTACGCCAGAACCACATTGTGGAACTCCAAAGAGCCCTGCTCAGGCCAAGCAGGGGGTAGCTGGAGTGAAACAAAGACATGAAATACAAAAAGTGAACAATACACACTGCATAAAGTAACATCTGGATTAATGAGATAATTCTGTTTGTTATGGTCTAAAGTTCATATCATCTACAGCAGTGGTTCTTAACCTTTTTGACCTCYGGGCCCAATTTGTTGAACATAAAGTGACACGAGGCCCAGTCAGACATTTCTAATGTATGGATCAAAATGATAATTATTCTAAATCTTGGTTTAATTTTTATTGCATTTACATCATAACTAAACTATCATAACTAACATAACTAAATTAAATACACTTACAGTTTAAAAGTAAAACTCCTGTCAAATAATCAGAAGACATGATTATGACAAACATTTTATATTGTAACCTGCCCATAACAATTATTTGAACAAATACAATAGTCAGTCAACAGACCACTCAGGCTTATCAACGCAAATATATAT